TTGTGATTATGATAAGATTTTATTCAAAATTTGTATCTGAGGGTTTTCGGGGTCGGAGATTATGATTCTTCAGTCAAAATTGGAAAATTCAAGATGGCGGATCCAATATGGCGATCGAGCTTTGCAATTATGATCCGATTCTATTCTAAATTGGTATCTGGGGGTTATCGGGGTTGGGGATTATGATTCTTTCGTCAAAATTGGAAAATTCAAGATGACGAATCCAATATGACGAGAGAGCTTTGTAATTATGATTCGATTCTATTCAAAATAAGTATCTGGGGTTCATCGGGGTTGGAAATTGTGATTCTTCCGTCAAAATTGACATTTCTCTTCATATTCTTTGTAACATTTTTATCACTCACATATACTTTCCACACATGTATGTCATGTTAAGAAATAAAGTATTTCTATTTCTATTGAATCCGCCATCACGAATTTCTAATTTTGACAAAAGCATCATAATCACCGACCCAATTTTGGATAGAATCGGATCATGAAATTACAAACTTCTCTCACCATATTGGATCGCCAGTGTGAATTTTCCAATTTTGACAAAATAATCATAGTCTCCAGCCTCGAAAACCCCCAGACACAAATTTTGAATAGAATCGGATCATAATTACAAAGCTCGTCCGCCATATTGGATCCGTCATTTTGAATTTTCAAATTTTGAGTAAATAATCATAATCTCCGACCTCGAAAACGGCAAGATACCAATGTTGAATAGAATCCGATCATAATTACAAAACTTGTCCGCCATTTTGGAACCGCCATATTGTTTATTTGTTTGAAATAAATTTTCATGATGCAGTGCCACCAGAATCATGTAAACCTGCCAAGTTTCAAAACAATCGGTCCGTAGTCCGTTTATAGTGGATCAAAATCGAGTCCAACATACATACATACATTCATACATACAGGTGAAGCCAAGGGTGAAGCTAATAAAACAGGTGAAGCTAATTAAAACGTGTTAATTAAAAACGAGTTTAATTTTTTTACTTTAACTAATACTTATCACTTGAGGACCTTCTGTTCCTATCTAATTCCTCATCAAATTACGAATTTCGCAACACTTTGTATTCTTAGGTCATCCACCCTAAATGTTTATGATTGACATTCAATGACTGTTAACCTGATAACTGGACTGCAAAATTCCAACAGGACATAATAATTTTATTATTTAAATGACCAACTATAAGTAACAGAATTGCATGCTTATAATTATAGTGATACCAGTAACTTCGCCAAAATCTGAAATATTACGGAGGTTCAACTCGGTTGAACTTTATCATGGGCGTCCACACTCCATAGACTGGCCAGTAGTAGATCTTGAATATACCATTTTCATGTTCAGTTTTCAGTAGTGAATACCTGATGAATACCATAAGCAGCACAACTTCCAAAGAGGAATATTTTGCATTTTCATGTTGAGAACGGGAGCAGATTCGGTCCCAAAACGTCCGAAGATAAGTACAAATTCGATATTTTTTCAATATATCTATATTTCTTTCCCTCAAACATTTTCCAAACAAATTGTCGTTGACAAGCTACTGGATTTTTATTTTAGGCTCCCTGATAGAAAAATTTGTTAAACGCAGTGACATTTTGGGGCAAATCATCTGATTTGTCCCACTACAAATATATTGAAATAATACGCATATTTTAATTTTATGGAAACGAGGAGAGAATATCCCAAAAAATCAAGTAAAATGAATGTACCATCTCCTCGATTAACCAACAGACAGTATTTATATTATTTATTATCAGTGATTGCCACAACGTGAAAATATTTTGTGCCAAAATTATCCGTGAATTGTACCAGATTCAACAAAAGTGTACCAAACCCAAAAATTTTTAAAAAAATCACTACCTATACCTCCTCTTCCTATCCTCCCAAGGCACGCACGATCGAGCGCACGATGTTCTTCGAACACTTCCAAAAAGTTCTTTCTTGCGCTCCAAAGGAAAAAAAAACGGGAATTTTGGAATGTTGTGCCAAAAATAAATATAAAGGGAAGTCGGGGTAGCATCCATTTTTATATTCTGTTACACGCCATTAGGACATGTAATACTCATCAGAGAAGAAAATGTCCTATATGAACATATATTATAGGTCCGTAAATGTTTTGTTAAATTTCCCAAAATAATAATTTTTTCATAGATAATTCGATGACCCTTTCTCTGATTTTATTGAAATTCGGTGGGGCTGTTTTGAGAATAACAGTTGATATTTTTCGTGAGAAATCATAACACGCCACTCTTTTTGATTTTGTATCAGGTACTTTTCACAAAATTAGTGTGTGACGTGCACAAAATAAATGGAACAGAATTGCAAACTCAGCGCACAAGTATACACAATATACAATATACACTGAGTGTGAAACACTTGAGTTCTGTGGTGTGAATCTTTGTTCACATCTGAAGGTATAATGTAATTCACAAAAAGTCAATGAAAGGATATGCAATTTCCATTTCTTATATAGATCGTGGTATAGATGAATATCGAGCGAATGTTTTTTTTACGTAAAATTGCCTCAATTTGGAAATGTACTACCAACGTTTTTTTATGTTCTGGTTCCCACGAAAAGGGATATCCTGAAATGTTCAGAGAACATCGTGAGAACCAAGGGAAATAAGGTAGGAATTGGTGTTCTTCATAAATTTCTGGAGGTTATATGCCTCGGGGAACAGCTCCCTTGGCAATGTGTTCCAGAGCCTCGTTGTTCGTTGGGTGAACGAGTCTTTGGAAAGAGATGTTCGGCAGGTCTCCAAAGTGACCACGAAGGGGTGCGAAGCCTCAACTCGACGGGTTAATTTCGCGGGGACTGCCAATATAGGAAAAATTGTTGATATTTCAGAATAGCATCGTCCATGAAAATATCTATAAAACAGAGCCACATCGTCAACTTTTCTACGGTGTAAGTGAGTGAGTTTGTGAGCGAGGCATCACACACGAGACGAATTGCCCTTTTTTGGACAGAATCCAACAGTTTCAGGGTATGTTTGGGTGCTGCACTCCAAATATGGGAACAGTATTCCAGGACAGGTCGGATCTGTGCCTTATAGATCATAAGTATCTGACTGGAAGTGAAATAGCTCCTGGCCCGAAACAGAAAGAACGTTTTTGGGATTCACAGCAACAGCAATTTATCAGAGCCGCATTCCATCAGCACAGTATTTGGTAGCGACAAAGAATCTTACAGAATATTACAGAAAACTTACAAAGTCGATACTAAGCTCTGATATATTGTGATTGTCTTATACAGGGGAATGTCGCGATTTTCAAATGAACAAAATAGGGGCCATAAAAGACTCTCTAGGAGGCAAGTTGAACATTGTGCATATTATTCTTCCTACTCAACCAGTTCTGATCTCATCTCATGGCTGTTTAAAAAATTGTTCAATTGTACCATTTCACATGTCATCTGTCTTTTTGACATCTTGTCATCCGGAAGTTTGACGTTTGATCTCATGACTTTCCGATTTTTCAGTGACAGCTGACCTAGAGTCCACTCAAGTGTCAAGTCTCACTCATGTGTGTTTTTGGAAATTTTATAAAAACTTTGAATTTTCACCTAATGAAAACCTCCTGAGGGTAACTTAGAGGGTACAGGCTCCTCTCAAAATAAAAATACCTGTTTATATACTTTATACTATACATAATATGTGTTTGTGAAACAGTTATATAGTTCCATCTTTATTCAATTCTGGGGATGAACACTAGATTTTTGATATTCGTTGTTTTTTAGGTTATAATTAGGTCACTGGCGTATCATACGTAATTTCCATATGAAATTCCTGATATAACTGTACCAAGATAGATATGAACAATCCTCTAGTTTTAGAGTTTAATACTCCAGCATAATCTTTGAGATTCAGGGATCATATAAATTGTACTGAGAGCTTAATATATTTCACCAAAAGAGACTGTTCTTAGACTGTATACCAGGGTTGACTGAATTGACTGAATGAATTTTGATTTCAAGCTGAGGAGTAGTTTATCTATGAGCTGAATGAACTGAGCCTTATGATCGAGAAATGGTGGAAACCTCGATGTGGGTATCTAGACGACTACTGTACTCATGTCATGTGTGCGAAATATATTTTCAGAAATTCAACTCGGAGAAGAATTTATGGAGTTACTAATATCACACTATGTATAAAACTTCGTCTAGGACGAAAAGTAGGCTGATAAAAATTAATACGTTAGAATCGGATCTTCATTACAAAACCCGTCCACCATATTGGATCCGCCATCTTGAATATTCCAATTTTGACGAAATAATTATCATCTCTGACCCCGGAAATCCCCAGATACCAATTTTGATTTTTTGAATAGAATCGGATCCTAATTACAAGTTTTGTTCGCAATATTGGGTCCGCTATCATGAATTTCCCAAGATACCAATCTTAAATAGAATGAGATCATAATTAGAAATTTTTTGCTATATATTGGATCCTAGAATTTTCCAAGTTTGACGAAACAATCATCATCTCCAACCCCGGGAAACCCCACATACCTTCCAATTTTGAATAGAATAGGATCATAATTACAAAACTTGTTCGCCATATGATCTTCCTCAACAAGTAAATACCCTGTACATACCTATTATTAAAATTTCGAATGATTTTCTGTAGCGCCCATGGATGTGACGTGACATCAATGTCAGGGATGCCAGTAGACAAAACTAAAATCTCTAGATCATTAAAAAAGAATGCAGCTATGATCTGTCCGTACCCTGTTAAGATGACTTTAACGTCAATGTCCATCAAGGGACCCTACATATTCCTGGTCCTAGTTTATACTTTTGTAGGATGTTAGGAACCTTGGCTGATGATGGGCTTATTATAAGCCCGAAACATGTCCCCCCCTTTTTGCAACATTCTTTTGTTCACCCATTAAATGTCGTGGAGATGATTTCGAGATTTATTCTTCCTTTAAATAGTGCATATTATTATTCTTCCTCTAATTGTGTAATGAATATTCTGTCACTCACATGGCGTTCCGAGTATCGGGGATGTCCCTGTTGCTCGGCAAGCCGTCGCTGGCCAGCTGGTTGAACCTGTTCCTCGCGTAGGGGTCCTCGCCCCCCTTCAGCCTCCCACCGGCCACGTAGGCCCTTTCGTCGAAGTAGGTCCACGCCAGCCGGCTGTCGGCCGTCTCGTAGCTCGGCAAGCCCTTCAGGGCCATGGGGACAGCAGGGCCGGGGGCGCTTTCCTCGGCCGCGGCGTACGATGTCATCGTGGCGGCGTCCTTGAGGCGCAGGGCCTTGTTTTCCGACTGGAAATTAATCAGATTCTTATTCTATGTTTCCTGCTCAGACTCTATAATAAATAGATAGACACCGTGTTTCATTCATAAATCATGAAAAAGTATACGCTAACATGCCTTTTTTGTTGGGCATCGCCCTAGCGTCTCAGGTAAGGTACTAGCGAGGGTACTAGCCGTTCGATATCTAAGGATCTAGACAACACTATCTCTCAAACTAGTAAATAAAATAGTGTCATTGCTCACGAGCAAACACGGCACTGAACTCGGACAGATGTACAAACACGGAAACATGGAGGTCCAGCTGTCCGAGCCTAACTAGAAGGAGGTTTTTTATTTTTTCATTTTATTTTTCCTCCAAAAACCGGAAACACTTCCTGCACTGATCACGTATGAGCAACTCCCTCGCCCCACTGGGTACCCACAGTGAGATTACCTTTATAAAGGGCCTAGCCCTAGGAGATCGGTCTCTGCGACGAACACTCCACAAATCCTCTCACATCCCTTGGCCAACACCAGCCACCTCTGCGTCACGCGGAGGGACATCTAGGGGCACTATATGATGCTCCAGATCATAATATACAAGGTGTGATTGTGAATTTGTGTTGTAAATTAATAGGATAATGGAAATAAACGACCTTAATACGTTCGATATCTGAAGTTGAGAAATGTCGAGCGCGGTTAGTACTTGGATGGGTGACCATTCGAGGAAACGCCGCGTACGCCCGTACATCTGTAGCGGAATAGCATATCATAGCTACTACAGCTACCATATCAATGAGCACAATATATGGTACGGATATGCCGTCCTTCGGAGGGGACGTTAAGCCGGCGGTTCCGAGGCCATGGATGTTGGACTCGTTGAAGATCCCTACCTCTGGTTGGGGTTGGAACACCAGAGGATTCGGCAAAATTTCCGGTTGGGGGTAGTGTGCTCACAGGCGTCTGTGATTAGCCTCAGTAGCAGAAAAGGCCGTAGTTGAAGAAACAAGGAAGAAGAAGCCTTTTTGTTATTTTTATGTTCTGGGTCCCACGATAAGGGTTATCCTGTAAAGTTCAGAGAACATCGTGGGAACCAAGGGAAATGAGGTAGGAATTGGTGTTCTTTTTACATTTCTGGAGGTTATATGCCTCAGGGAACACCTCCCTTGGCAATGTGTTCCAGACCCTCGCTGTTCGTTGGATGAACGAGTCTTTGGAATGAGATGTTCTGCAGTCTGCAGGTCTCCAAAGTGACCACGAAGGGGTGCGAAGCCTCAACTCGACGGGTTGATCTCGCGAGGACTGCCAAGTGAGGTACAATTGTTGATGATTCAGAAGAGCATCGTCCATGAAAATATCTATAAAATAGAGCCAGATCGCCAACTTTTCTACGGTGTTCCAGAGAAGTGAGTGAGTATGTGAGTGAGGCATCACTCACGAGACGAAATGCTCTTTTTTGGACAGAATCCAACAGTTTCAGGGTATGTTTGGGTGCATCAGCTGACTGGAAGTGAAATAGCTCCCGGCCCGAAACACTGATAAATGAATGTAATCAAGAATGGTGAGAACAACTCTGTGAAATCATTGCCATAGAATTGATATTCTTTATAGATAGATTATACCGCAGGGCCGGCAGCGCTTTTTTCGGCCGCGGCGTACGCCGATGTCATCATCCGACTGGAAAATGATTAGATTGTTGAGGCCCAAGCACAATGCAAAAGAAGGAAAGAAGGAATAGTACTATGATTGGTCTAAAACGTGTTCGAGGTTAGAATTGACCAATAGCAGACCTGCATTTCTTATTTTTTATTCCTTATTCTCTATTTCTCTATACATTGTGTCCCGACCTTTATTATGTTTTTCCACCTCAGACTTTATAATAAACTGATCAACATTGATAACGTTGTGGTCCAAAATAATAGAGGTCAGACACCAGACTTCCTCATGACGAAGTAACACTCCATTATTTCACTAGTAACACCAAGAAAATTATATTTCATCTACTGAAGACTACGTTATTCTCCATTCCATCATTCAGTATTTCTTGTATTACTTTGTATAGACTTCTTCAGAATTTTCTATGTTCGAACACAATCACATATCCGACGACTATACATACAACGTTGATTCTTCGAAAAAGAATCCAAACTTCCAATTTCATTCAAATAATCGTCGAAAAAATGCATCATTTTGAAAGAATATTCAAAACACGATTATCAAAACTCTGGATTCGAAGATTTAGAAAACGTTTCGAGAGAAAGCATCGATCAAAAGGATACAGGTGAGAAAAAAAAAGAAAAAAAATTATCTGTTCAAACGGTAGGGTGACGATAAGATGTGACGACCACGATGCAATTCTACACCCATTCAATTATCACCCTGTAGCAATGTTATCTGGAATTACAGAAGTTTCATATTGCCACAACAAACTGTCAAGAGATTAGGCTAATCATCGATGAAAATCGATTTCAAATTGGTAAGGGAATTCATGTTATATTACTTTGAATTCAGGCTATATTTTGGACCACGACGTTATCAATGTTGACCAGTTTAGATAGACACCGTGTTTCATTCATAAATCATTAAAAAGCGTACGCTAACAAGGCTGAAAGACTAAAATCAAGAATGGTGGGAACAAAACAACTCTGTGAAATCATTGCCATAGAATAGATTTCCTTTATAGATAGGTTAGACAGACATTTTCATATATCTAATAAATATCTGGATTCCAATAAATGTATATACAGGTTGTATCTAAATAACACCGAACAAATTCAAGGGGTGTTTCCTTGTGATATTCTAGCAAATAAAGTTCATATAGACATGTATCCTATACTTTGCTCCGTTTTTGACATACAGGATGTTGAAGTTGGAAGTATTAATTTTTTTTTATTTATAGCCCCCTGTATAAGCTTTTATGGTGCCAAAATTCAGTATGGATGGACACTGAGAAAGCTCAAAAATTTCGAAATGATTCAAATTGGGGTTATTGAGTAATTTCAATGGAAGTGAAAACGCCTACATTAAAATCCTAGTGTGCTACTTCAGTTTTAATCTTCTCCTGAAGATGCTAGCATAGTTAGCGAAACAACAATACATAAAGACACAAAAATAAAATACCTGGGAGTGGTAGTAGATCAACATTTGAGATGGGATGAGCATGCTACTTTTATCATCAGAAGAATGAGACAATTAACCTACAAATTCTACACACTTAGAGATATTTTGAACAGAACAAATTTAATGATTGTCTATTATGCCGTAGCGGAATCTGTGATCAAATACTGCATATCGGTATGGGGTGGGATGTTCAATAATATTCTGAGTAGTATTCAATCGATGCAGAACACAATTTTGAAAATAATTTTCAAGAAAAATAAATTATTTCCATCTGATCAACTTTATAAGGAAACAAAATTATTTAACATCAAAAATACTCTAATTTAGATGTACAGAAATAAAAATAAATATTACATTGAGAAAAATAAACCAACTCGATTCAATGAAAATTTAGGTGTCAATTTACCTCTTCACAAAAAACCGACACCCAAAGAACAATTTTCTATTTCGGTCCAAAATTTTATAATTTATACTACCGGTTTATATAAAGGAGATACCCAATACCAAAAAAGGGCATTAAAAAAGTTCATAGCCTCTGATGATCAAATAATGAAATTTTTATAGATTAATGAAAAAAATACTTCAATTATAATACAATTGCTTAACTACCTCCTCTCAGCTTCAACGATATCAGTCAATAGTAATTAATAATCATGTCTACTGAAGACTGTGCTATATTATCAAGAAATTGTAGATTTAGATCGCTCGGATGGCAAAGAAGCATAGCACAAAACAAGCACTAACCAGTGCTTAGGTGCAGTTTCTTTGTCCAAAAGAGTGAATATAATAATTATTATAAAATTGTCATCACCTGAGATAATGAAATAAATTACTTACTTACTCAAATTACTAACGTGTCGAGGCGTAAAATAATCGGTTTGGTTAATGGTAAAACAGTGTGTATTGTAAACTTCTTGTCATTTTTGTTTGTTGTATTGACCCATTTATATCTTATATAATCAGTTGAAACAATGGCGCTGTATTCCATCGAGTTCTTTGCTCAACTTTTCTAAGTTAGGTATATAGAGGGTGTCTCTAGATAAAACCGACAAAACTTATGGGGTTATAGGGCCTGCCAATATGATTGCAGAATGCCATAAATTTTCAACAAGTAGCTTCTGAACGAAATCAATATCAGGAATATAATTTTTCTCCTATGTTGAGTTATTGTGAGAGAAACCCTGTATAATAATTATCAGAAATGGAAATATGATGAATATTCACGAAACCAAGACATAATTGTTGTTATTCTCTTCGATAACTTCGTAGAAATATTATAAAAATTACTCGAGTAACCTAAAAAACTGAAGAATACATTCGTATGAGGACCGGAATGAATCTTTTTCATGTTTTTGTAGGTACAAGGTGACCCTAAAAGGTCTCTACAAAATCTCAGAACATATTTTCATTTCCAAGATACAAGGGGGTAAATTCAAATTCAAGAATTTCTCAAGATTTATGAACATTTTGGTTTGGTAAATGTCACTTCAATAGTTTGGTAGTCGGGGAATCTTTGGGTTGTGGAACCCGAATACTGACACATTTTCCCTGTGGCCATTAAAGGCGCTTACCAATGCATTTCTTATGGTTCAGAAGGGCCATAACTTTTATCTCAATGTACTTTTTCACTTTTTTGGTTGAGGTTTTCGTGTGAAAATTCGCTAAAGTGAGCCGATTTCGAAATATTTCGGCGCCTCACCGGAATATTGCAATTTTTTTGAATAAAAAAGCCTGTTTGTTGTTATCTTCGTGAATGCTATTTGGTCAGTGAATCGGTTGTGCAAAAATTGATTTTTCGAAATACTTTTTTGAGGACTATTTGTTGATTTTTATTTTTTAAATTTACCACCTCGTATCTCGAAAAAGGAGCAATTTCGGGCAAAAGTAAGTTGCTTCAAATCGGTTTATTT